GATACTACAAACTCAGCAGAGCGTCTTGTACCTGCTGATCATCAGGTGTCCAGATGCCACAGGTGATCTGACTCTCCAGGTTGATCTCTGAGGACCAGTGTCTCTGCCCGCTGACCGAGCCAACTAACACAAAGCCATCCCTGTAAGCGATGAGTGCTTGGGTGCCGTCGTGTGACCAAGTAAAATCACTCACCTGAAGAGAGATAAGATATACTGTTCGGGGTATTGGTGTGAAACAACTAAAGCGATGACAGGGTTTATATTTGTAACAAATGCATGCTGCGTTTTTTTAAAAAAATTATTATTATTACTATTATTTACTGAAACACAATAATGAAATTACACACCTGGGCTCCTCTGTCATTCACTAACTCCACAGACCACCTTCCCTCATACTGGATCCATACAAAGATGCCTCCTTCCATATCACAGGTAGCCAACTTCTGGAAGGGCTCATTCCAGCGCACCAAGACGACCTGCAAAGGAGCAAAGCAAGCTTTCTTCCATTTTCTAAAAGCACAGGTGGCTGTCTGCGGAGAGAAACTTTCAAGAGTAATGTGCCGCATAAACACGAGTCTAAAAAAAGACTTTGAGGCAGAACAGGCTTTTAAGAGCCAAAGCAGTTGGAAGGAGAGTCAGCACACAGGCGGATAAAAATAGCACCAGAAAGAAATATGTACTAATAATAAAACCAATGACAAGTTCATGAATGCAATAAGGCCCTTTTTGGCAAAAAAAGCGACTTTAAACAAAAGCTGAAAATGATTTGATTCTTACTTTTACAGTTTATTATTTTGCAAACAAGCTTCTGGCACAATTGGTATAGCTTCTTTTCAATCGCTTGGTTTCTTAGATCAAAATAATTTTTTTTGGAATAGTCCACATTCGAGGAGCCCTTTGATTGTGTCAAGTTTCAACCATCTGATCCCAACTTGTCACAACAAATTGGTTAGGATGCTTAAGAACAGCACAGGAACCATTGACAGCAGCCATTAAGACACTAAAGTTCTTAATTATTGCAAATTTCACATTGAGTATCACAAAATATCACTAAAATACCTCACTGTTGTGTCCTCGCAAGTTAAAATTGATTCTCTGCGGTGTGCTTCTGTCCCTCCTGCAGTGACTCGAAGTGAACGTCACCCCGACGACTCCTCTCCCGTTCCCCGTGGCGAGCCAGCCCTCCTCGTAGTAGCGTCTCCGGCACACCGGCTTGTCCTTCTCGCTCTTGGGGACCCGGCCCTTCCACGAGAGGCAGAGGATGTTGGAGTCGCTGCACAGGATGGGACCATGTTCCACGGCGGCCAACATCCCTACTGACTGGCCAGGCTGCTAAGCGAGACAAGAGAAAGTGACACGTTGGAGCTGCAGCAACACAATGTGGCGACTTGTATTGAAACTTGAGTACATTTTCGGTTTGTGTTGGTGCGTGGCTCTACGTTTTTACTCAAAAATGCCTTTTCAGGGAAGCTCGGGATACTTTTGCACTGTTATTTTCATGGTCAGTGGGAAGTGAAATATGGAAAAATTGGTTTGAAAATGATTTATTGACCAACGAAGCAAAAAGCGACAGAACAATCTCAGGTTAAAGTGGATGAAACGGATCATTGATTGTTGCTGCCCATATTGAGCAGATGCTTGTTTTTAAATTCAAAGAACATTGCATCATATGATCTAAACACCTTTTTTAAAGCCAGCGTGTACTAAAGTAAATCTACCATAAACCAGCAGACTTTAAAATAACTTGCAGTGATTGTTCTGTCACAAAATGAAGATGCGATAAATGGGAGGTGGGATTCATATTTTAGTTCTGAGGTGAGATGTGGAGGAGTTCAAATGAAACAAACCCAGAAAAAAAATTCACCCTTACATACTGTGTCCTGAACATCTTTTCATACCTCTTAAACTTTTTATTATTTTAATGTTACAACCTCTACCTGCAATGTATTTTATTGAGGCTTTAGCTGATAGATCAACAAACAGTGTAGAATTTTGAGGTAGATAATAATGATCATAAATAATTTTCTGTGTTTTTAAAAGCATGTTGTGCATTTGTGTCCAGCTCCTCTAAGCCAATGCTTTCGTCTACTTTTCCTACATATACAGCTGCAGAAATGTTTGTCTAGCTTTCCACATCTGGAGACTGAAATGTCTGGACCTTCTTCTTTGCAAAGTAGCTCTAGCTCAGACTGGATGAAGAGCAATTTTTAAGTCTTTCCACGGCTTCAGAGACTCAAACTTCCCGTAGACAGACCCAAACTGAATTTTACTCAAGGATATTATAGGAAAGAGACCCTGAACACAAAGACATGCCACACTTCTCAGATGTTTGCTGGTAGAATATGTAATTTCCCTTTCACCTTACAATAGAGGGCTACTTTTTATTGGTCAAAGAGGCCATGACACACCGCAGCGGCCCAAACCAGCAACAAACAACATAGGCAGATAAATAAAACCAGGAGACTTACAATGTTTTGTTTTGTTTTAGAAAATTCTGTGCAATTTAATTTTGACTGGCAGCATGGATTTTAACACGTACGAGTGAATCACTAAATGTGCCACTTACGACTGCTCATAATGTTCTTGCTGTAGTCCCTTTTATTCACTGCTCATGGAGCAGCTCCAGGATTTGTCTGTGGGTTACATCATCACTACAGCTCTATTTATCATCATTCACAAAATGAAATTAAAGCATATAGATAAAATATGTGAAATTTTGCAAACCAGAGCTAAGATATTCATGTCCTTTCCTTTATGTCAAATGGGAATATCAACCAGTAGTATTCTCTTCTACCACGCTTTCAAAAAGCTAATCTTACAAATTTAAGTTGGAGACATTTTCTGCACATATTCAATGTATGCCGGCTGACATTATGCAACGTAGTGCCATGGGGGAAAACACTGGCTAAACCCAATTCAGTAGTGACAATTTGACAGCGGCTCGAAATACCTCATAGTTCCTGGGCATGGTGAATCAAAACGCGTCCTCTGAAGGTGTCCATATTTTCATCCAGATGAAGCACTGAAGGGTAATGGCTGTTTTCCTGTTGGTGCTTAAAAGGGGACCTACAATAGGGAGGTAAAATGCATCATACAGCCAGAGGGTATCCAGCTCTTCCTTCATTCATTCACGCATCCATGCATCCATCCAGCCACTCATTCAAATCTGCGCTTTAGAATTTGCCATTTGAAGATGCGTGCCTCCTCAGATGCCAGTCACCCATCCCGGAGACGTGTGCGGTCCTGTTGCAGTGGAGGAAGAAATAATAAGAAAAAAGACGTCAGCGTGAAGGGTTGTGGGGGGGTATAAATACAGAAAAAAAAAAAAACGCAGCAGATCAACAAGTAAAAGGGTTGAGAGATTTTTAGCTGAGAAACGGCGGTGTCATTCCGAGCATCGCCGTTCATATTGAGTGTTTCTCAGTGCCTATGCAACGCCAGCACCGCATTGGAGAGCTGGTCTCCATGGGTACTGATGCTGTCCGCGCCTCACCGTTACCGGCAGAGCAGAAATCGCGCGCGGATATTTACTCAGGCGTCGCAGATATTACATAAAAACCCTTCAATGTTTAGAGCGACTGCACTGTGACGTCAATAAGCTGTTAAAACAGAAACGAGTTACGTTTGACTAAGGGCTTGGAGTGAATTGTGAGTCGAAGACAAAGCAGCTCGTTTGGAAACCTCACAAAATGACAGGTTGCATCTGGCGCTTTCTTATTCAGAGGCGTCTCATACGTACCCGCATCACCCAGCTGTCTGACTGAGTCAGAGCTCGTATCGCGACGAATGCAGGGGCTTAAAAATGACACATGCGCCCACTTATATTAAATATGTTTACATTTACATTAATTTCAAGCGGTACGTACCTGTCACCAAGATAAGAATATCTATCTGCTAGTCCTGAAATGATAGACAGTGCCGTAGTGTTGCCAGGCGCTTCTCCTTTGGCGCACTTAGTGCCTGTGCCTTTAAGAGGGGTTGCCATGAGGCAGGTGGCGTGGAAATGCTGCAGGGCTTCACCCGGCGCGGATTCAACCCGTGCGCCAAACGCAAATTGTTCACCGCTACAGGAAGCGCTAAACGTAACGACTCCGACTTTCATTTCGTATCAGCTTCTATCGCCCGGAGGCCAACAAATCGTTCAAACGCTTCCGAGTGTTTCCTGCTTCGCGCAAACGGGGGTTTCCGTTCTGGATGGCAACCTCGTCCGGCGCACCCACTCTCTGAAAGCGTACCTGCCGTGCAGTGTGCAGCTGTGATTCCTGGCAGAATCGCACAATCTGCATTTTTCTTTCGCCGCGTCCTTGTGATGGCTGTAACCGTGAGCGTGGTTAGGTTTGTAATTTTGCTATTTGTTTCCAAGAAATCATTGAAAATACGCTAAAGCCTGCAAATTAATAATAATTTTTAAAAAATTGACTGAATAAATAAATAAATAGACAGTGCAACAAGATTTGAACCATGTGCTTTTGACATTTATTTCTTAATTGTAGAGTTTTTGCTTTTATGGAAAAAAAAAATCACATATTGGGGCATGTTGGGGATTTTTAACAGTATTTTTATAACAGCACGAAAATTACATTGCCATTATAAAGCAGAGCAATGGAAGTGAGACTATTATAAAATTTCATTCATATTTTACTGCTCGTGGCTATTGCCTAGACATAGATATACATAGACACAGAGTCACTTTATTGTCCTAGTGTACATTTAAATTTTAAGCGAAATTTTGTTGCAAGGCTTGAATAGTGGCAAAACAAATAATAACACTTCCAGTGAACTTTCAAAATAAGTCACTATTTGGTGACTTATGCCAAATATAGTCACCAGATAGTGCGATATTTCACACTATCTGGTGTTGTATTGGGTTTGGCTATAAATATAAATATATAAATACCAAAGGCAAATTCCAGAACTTCCCAAAAGCTTTGGGAAGCTTCCCAAAGCTTATCTAAACTTTTTTTTAGTTTAGATAAAATAAAAATCACCACCTCTTTTTTTTTTTTTTTTTTTGCCAGAAGATGATTTAGCCAAAAAAAAAACAACAACAAAAAAAGACAACAATAACAAAACACACTTTGGGCAAAATGACTTAGCCTACTCCATCATTTTAGGAAAGTGATAGTATACTTATTTAGATCCAGACCAACTTGAGGCGTTTGCTAAAGACAAATATGAAAGGTTCAGGGTAGATTTGATTGTATCTTTATATATATTCAAGTTTGGATTCAGGGATGTTGCATAGTGGCCTAGGTTGTCAAAACCTATAACAGTAAAGCTATTTTACCAAAGAAGAGGGTTGAGCAACATAACTTACGACCTGGGTAGCTAAACAAGGGATGAATGATCTGTCCACTGCTTATCTCCAATGATCACTGGACAGGGTAAATGCTGGACAGGACACCAGTCCATCTCAGTGACACACAAAACAGACAATCATTCACATCTAAACAGAAAAAGTCTCATTATGCAAATATTGATATTTTCTTGGCTCATGAGATGCTAAATAAAGTGACTGTCTGGTGCAAGATAAGGAAATTTAATACACAACATAACACCTTCACCATCAGAAGGCCAAAGGCCAGACTTTTTTTAAATTCTAGTAAGACTATAAAACAGGCCTTCAACATTGAATAGAAATCTAACAATCAGATCATTAATAACATTTATCAATCTTTCTTAAAATATGTCAGTTACTTCTGACTCCGCCCACCAACAAATTACAGATGCCTGTCGATGTCATATTATTCTCCTACAAACACCAGTGCCACTTCTAGAAGGACGCCATGTTTGAATGAGAGTGAGCATAACTTCTAGGTTGTTTGGTATAATAAAATCCCCCCAACAATCAAACATATGTGTCTGATGAGATTTAGGCAAGGCGATATTTCAGGAAGTGATGCAAACGATAGTATCATGTATGGTAGTCACTGACTTGCAAAAGCTATGTGGAAATACTTTAAAGGAAAATGAGCGTAACTTGATGTTACAGCTTAAGCCTAAAGCTCACAGAAAAGAGTGTATTTTTTTATGCATTTATTCTGCCAAACACTTGAAAAATTGAATTGACTTCCATGGTTTACGGTGGCTCATAGAGTCCAGATGTTCCAATCCAAATTTGGAAGAAATATTCCTTACGTTTGGAGTTTCACTGTCCCAACAAATCTGCAACATGTATAAACCATTCTTAAACTATTTATTTCAATATAGAACTTATATAGATTGAAGAATTTGCATGCAAATATGATTTATTTTTTTAATCATTGCTAATATTTTATGCATTACTCTTCCACAAAATGTTAGTGTGTTATTTTTTGGTTTGACACAAGAAATTTAAATTTTCAGGATTTCCAAGGAAAAAATAGAGCAGTTATTTGAAGACAATAAAATTATAACGGGTTGTGATGTGAAAAATGAGATTAGATATAATATAAGTCAGCTGTTAAACTTTTCACATGACGTGACTTTCAGTCTCCTCAATTCAACTAAAAACGAAGGAATATGTGACAAGAAAAAGGAAAACTAAACAAAAATAGTTTCAAAATTTTTATAAGCAAATAAATCATATTTGCGTCAAGCACATTTAATTTAATGTAACTTATTTAATTTTTTTATGGTATATAACCACCATTATTTATAGTAAATCTGATTAAAAACCTTAGCTCTTATCAGTAAGGTAAAACAATAAGGTTGTTTTCCCACATTTATTTCTGTAAAGCCACAATTATGGCATGTTTTGAGCATCAGGCATGTCGAGGGCCAATTCAAACCTTTAGGAGCGTTTGATGCGTAGAGCACGTCCAACGCTCCACGTAGTCTTTGAACGTAAACCAAATGCACCTGACACTCAAAACGCGTTTGGTGTGAACGCACCAAAAGTCAAAGTTAACTGAGGTGGCTTTCAAGAGCCACTGTAGCACTTTTTCATTAAAGAAAAAAAAAATCTAACTAAATGTGTAGTTATTACAAAAACATTGCAACTGTAGTCTGTTTTAACAGTCTGTAGATGCTTAACAAAAAAAAAAAAAAGCAGACTCAGTTCTTGTTGTCATACCAACAGCTTTAAGTGCAAGTCTCCTGGAAGGCATGGATGACGCTGTCATATGCAGGAGGTGGAGTGTGTGAGGGAAGGAATCCTTTAAGCCCGTTGCCGCCCAGCCAGAAGGAATTCCTCTTGCTTGGTACGAGGGAGGCTGAATCAGAAGAGTCCATGGCCACTGTGTCCTCTGACATGGTTACCCGTGTGTCGTCTCCCATGTCCAGGCTGGGCCTGCTCTTTTTGGGTAGCGGCCGAAAGGTGGATGTCTCAGCGCCGGGTTTACTCCCCAAGGGGCCCACCGGCTCTAGAGAGGGCTGCCTATAAACACTCAGGAAAGTGCTTCGGTAAAGGCCAAACTGGCTGCCCGTGGGGTCACGTCGCGAGCTGCCGGATTTCTTTTTGGAGCGCCGTGTGATCCTGGCCGTGGCCCGCCGTCTTGATGCCCAGGTCAACAGAACGTAGATCAAAGCTCCCAGCAGCAGGCCCACGAGAATAGATAAGCAGAAGGCGAGGATCATATCACCTGGGTGAAGACAAAGCAGCATGTGGAGTCATCCGAGGGAGGCTAAGACAGATGAAATGGGAATGTTTGGTGGAGTGGGCGGACAGATGCATTGTGTTGCTCCGCAAACGAGGGAAATTATTTCCCCAGATGGTGATTTCAACAACACTTTAAACCCTCAGCCAGAACGGACAACAGGAAGACAAGTGTTACCAGAATGGTCTATGCCAAGCAGTTGTTTTTCTACTCTGTTGTATTGACTTATTGTTGCACATACTGCTGTAAATGGCCACTTTTACATAAGACCTTACATCATGCACGGTGTGTGGGTTCACAGGCTATGTGCTGCAGCTCTACCCTGCTGAAGAACAAGCAGACGAAGCTGAAACAAATCTCTGTATATTGTTATTATTAGATTTCATGTTCTTTTTGAAATACGGACAAACTGCCAATGATAAGTGGTTGGTTTTTGTTGCATTTTTAAAACAAAGAAACTTAATGGTCAAGGGAAACAGACTCAAAGATCAAAATAAAATAAAAAAAATAGTAAATTCATCAAACAAAAATACTTTAGGTTGTAACTAACGTGAATAAAAGCCTTTTTAAATGAACCTGAAGACAATAAGAAAAATATCCACCATATATCCAAAAAGCAGATTAAGAAATTTCAATACACAAAAGAAACCTGCTGCAGTATACGAACCATTGTTTCGACTAACTTTAACAGATTACCATTCTTTTGCGAAATTGCATTTAATTTTGTGAAACTACAATTGCTCCCTATACATTTGACACACATCTCTGTTTGCATATAAGTAGCTTCTGCAACAACAACAACAAAAGCCCTTTAAAGAGAACTTTGCAACCAAAAAGTTAAGATCCACTTACCAACATTAAATGATTTTAATATTTCCAAAAATGCATTCGTTTCATTCAGTGCCATTTTCCCACCATGAGCTGGTTTTTGAGCTCCACACGGACTCAAACATTCACAGAAACTGAGCTTTTCTTTTTTCCAAGACAGGCTTTTCAATCCCAACAGTTTTTGGTGTGGCGGAAACCTTGCTGTCATGCTTCCTTCCCCTCTACGGCTTTAAATTTAGTAAACGCGCCGCTTATCTGCGTGGGACATAACACTAGGAAGCAGTGTTACTTCCTTTTGCATCATTTCCTTACGATCAATACCTCATAACAAAACTCCTGTTAGTAGTGCTTTCATAAACATAAAAGCAGAGCATGTTGCATGTCTCCTGCTATGATGACACAACAGAGGATGCACATGGTCCATAAAAAAAAAAAAATTGTTGGTTAAGTCAAAATGAACGACATCCAAACAAAAAAACAACAGCTCTCTTGCTCAAGTGCAACACCTGGGAAATAATTCAAATTATTCAAGTTTCCTGGCAACAATCAGTGCAAGGAGACCCATAAAACTCTGCCAAACCAATCCAGTGTCTTTAGAGTATCAGGTCTCTGTGGGGATTTCCTCCCATTGTTGTGGTTTTCCCACTCTTGCTCCAAGACTGAGAACATTGCAAAACTTCTTCAGTTGAGTAGTTGCTGCTAAAACCTTTTAGGTAAAGAATTTTATTTGACTCGTTGTTATATTTTTGTTCCTCCTGCAAGTCTGAAGAAAGGGCTTTGTCACAATGACTACACATTTTCCCTCGAGCTCAGGCTCAGGATTGAACTGTGACATCTTGACGTCGACGCAGGCACTTTGCAGGAGTTGTCCAGCAGGTGGCAGTCGAGTCTTTACAATGAAACTGCAATTGTGACTGCAGGTCGGACCTGAAATGACCTTTATGGGCTCCTTAAAACCAATGAAAGATACTGAATTTCTGTTGACTCGTGTTGTACGAAGAGACAGGAGAGTTTGTGTGTGTTATTTAATTATTATTAAAATGGGGAAAATCAAACAATTTGCCACACAATTTCCAAATGGGTTCATCTTTTTTTTGTTTTCCCCACCAGTCTTAAATATTTTCACGGCAAATCACTTTAACTATATTTAAACAGCCTTTGTGGTGAAGATTTTTTTTTTAAATTATTAATGTCCTGATCTCTCTTTTTTTCCAATTCCGTAAAGGTGGAACGTAAGTCACCAAGAAATAAACTTTGGGGATTTAATATTCAACATATGATACTGATCCACAGCCTGGAGAAGCAGATCTGATGTTACCAAACTGACTGGTATATCCTCACTATTTGTGTTATTTGGCTATTACAAATGTGAATGAACAAAGAGCTCATGGGGGTCACTTTATTTTATTTTATTTTTTATCTACAGGCTCCCCCAAGTTCAGATTTTAAAGTATTGTGACATCTCTTGCTATACTAATGCTGACAACACTTTATTCTGTCACCACATAAACACAAGCCTAAGCCAGCAGTCACTATGTGTGTTCTGTGTTCTGCCATTAACTGGATGGGGGCATTATTTGATTTTGAGTAACAAAAATGCAAACTCAGAGGTCTGTGTTCATTTCACATAAAATGACATAGTATGGCAGAAACATTGATGGACTTAAAAACTATTAAAATTACTACAAAAATATAGGGATTGAAAGACTGGTTCATAGTTTTATTCATTTTAGATTTAGTCCTTATACAGCAGAAGGAATTATCCCAGCTCATTCATCATTGGGTCTGCTGACTCTCATCTTTCTCATTATATCCTTCTCTGCTAGGTCAGAAGAGTTTTCTGGCCAGTCAAGCACAGCGAATCAATGGTCGTCAAAACAGCAGTAGATCTATAGGCAGGTCATGAGAAGTGTTGGAAAAGGAAATCAGCATCTGTATAGTGACTCTTCAAGCTGTGGTCCCTGCAATGCCACACGCTCCTGTTGCTTGTGTAACTTTTTCTAGCATGTTTTTCCTTCCACTCAACTTTCCGTCTGTACACTTGCAAAAACACTCTGAATAGCCAGTTTCTACAGTAACTATCTTTTCCGGCAAACCATTGCTTTTAAATACTGGACTTCAGTTTTCCACCAACCAGTCATGAGCAACATTTGTCAAAATCAACTGAACTAAACTTTTAAAAATATCTCACATTGTGTGCAAAGAATCTATATGAGCTCCAGGTTCTGAATTTAATTTCTTAAAAAAAATAAAAATGCCCAGAATGCAAATGCGTGTAAAGCCGCTGGACTACATTTCCGACTCCTCCCTCCCTCTGCCAGCATGATGCCGCTGGGTTTCTTGTGGTTTCCAGCTCGTGGGCCGCCGCTGAGCTGATGCGCGCCGCCAAAGTTTCATTTTCAGGGTTACCATGGGCAACCGGGCAACACAGACACGCACGGTACTTCCTCAGTTCTCCACGCAGGTCTCTGCGCCGCGACGGGCGGTAAGACAACGTGCCACTTCGTGTCCGACTCACACATTATCTCGTTATCTCAGTACGTCGGTGTTAGTGTGTGTTTTGTCGGGCGTCTGAGTTCATTTGTGAGCGCTTCCATGGTAATTATCACTGTTTATCTGGTGTTTATTTTTTTTTGTTTTTTTTAGCGACTTCCTCCATTACTTAACGGGCTTTAGTGAACGCCGCCTCCGTCGTACAAATACCTCAGCAGGTGTCTAACTTTACTAAAGAGATGTTACTGTGGCGCAGCGTACCTTAACACTGACGTAACAACACGTCACATCGTGGTTTAAGTTCAAGCGCGCGCCAGGATAGTTTACACACCTTTTAATGGGGCTAACTCAACATTTGTTGCGGTTTTTGTTTTTCCTTAAACTATCTCAATTATGTCCGCCATAGTTGAACTGCGACTGCAGCTTGTAACTGTGCTGTATGATTTGCTACTTCTCTACGAATGTATAGAGAGTAATTCACTTTTGCGCATGTTGCAGCTGTATGCCTAAATTTAGCCATATGTGTGACTTCCTGTTAGTTTTTTCTCAATGCAGTGTATGTCCACATGTCCATTTGAGCCAATTAGCTGATCACAGGTCTGTTATATTAGGATGCCCTTTTTGGGTAATACTGTAAAGCTCAACATACTATCGCTTCATTCTGTCCACAGCATAAATCTGCCAATCAGACAATTGTGTGTAATTCTACAAAAAGCACAGGTGTAGATAATAACATTAATTGCGACCTTGTTTGGAGTCTAGACAGAGCTACTATTAGTTATCTTTTTAAAAATATATTGTAGATTTTGTTTTATTATTCTGTACCATTTTTATAAATTCAAAACCTATTAACATGTGAGGAAGGAATATGTACACTGCAAGAGTACATATATGCATAGTGTATAATATTACTATTATCAGAACTTTAAAATCAACAGATCAAATTTAATTGGATAATTTAAAATTATAATAGTACGTCAGACCAATAATAGGTGCTCAAAGGTTGTTTTAACCTGACAAACAAGAGTGGTTGTGAGATACATTTTAACTTTTTGAACATGGCTAATTCATCAGCTGGCAAAATAATTGTTGCTTTTCTATTGTGAAACCAAACATGTGACACATGTGATGTAATAAAACCATTTCTGTTTACTCAGACTTTTACGTTGAGGATTTTTGGACCGTGCCTACTCTTAGACTAATAACTTAGAGGTCATGCAAACAAATACTTTGATTAGTTTAGGAAATGAAGCTGTCTTTAAACTAAACTGCAGTGCTAAACAGTGTTTAAAATATTCGCTAACAGGTGCAGAAACTCACTGCCTTTTTTTTTAAAACATCTTTTACAGTACTTGCATGGAAGAAGTGCTTCCATTGGACAATAAACCTGCTTTGTACCTGCATGAAACCTGAGATTCAATTGGACCTGCTCCTGCAGTGAAATAAGACAGAGAGGCAGACAGAGAGAGAGAAGGAGGGGCGGAGGGGATGTCCCACTCGGGACAGCTGTGAAGTAGCTCTTGCTCTCAGCATCAGTGACCCACCTTGTGATACAACTGCAACGAGTCGACATGGCGTCTCCAAGGCACTTTGGTCGGTCGTCTGTGGACATAGCCAATGTGATGCAGAAGCTGCAGGGTAAGTGACGCTCTTTGGCTTTGCCACTGTGCGAACCAGACCTCCTTTCCTCCTGCACTACTGCACAGTAATATTTGTGCTGATTCAAGGCTTGGCTCTGTGCCCGACTGAAGTTCGCCAACATTTGCAAGGCAGGAGGCTCTCGCACACATGCACACATACACACCACCTGATGGACAAACTCAAACTCCGTGCTAGATCGTCTTTTAACTCATTATTACTGAGAAAAATTAAAAGAAAATACTGTCCTTGAACACATCGGGCCATAGAGCATATTATAGGGTCACATATTTGTATGATTTGATTCACAGAGAATGTCTCTTCTAATTTTTTCACCAGCTAATCTTATTTGAAACAATAAGAACATTCCTGTAACATCCTGTGACTGAACTGCATACAGTCAAGCTGCTTTGTTTATTGTTTCAGGTTTGAAAAGTAAAATCTAATGTAACACAACAGTTTTAATCCAGTGTGGTCAAACTCTCAATCTCATTGAAGCATGATTTGCTGAAATTGACCTAAATTTAGTCATTAGCGCTTTAAGAATTTTCTGTTTAAGTTGATTAGTGTTGATGTGCTCTGTGGTTTGACATTCACAGAATTCACTGATAAAGCAATGAGCTAAACCCGATACCATTTATGCCCTTGGCAAGCAAAAATGATTGGTAGCCTGAAAATATGAGCTCTTATGCTTTGAAAATGTAGGATACCTGGAAATATCTGCGTGTGATGGCGTGTTACCAGAACTGCTGCTTGAAACATTTTCCTGTGGTTGTGCCAGTTGTACCCGGTTTCTGCTGTAGAGCGAGGTAGTACTTCCTCTGTGTTCATCACTATGGTGATTAATAAATATCCTTTGTCTTTATGCATGAATGACCTTTTTTAGGTAAAAAGTGGAAATGACACGGTGTAACTTTGCACAACTGTGCTTCAAGTCAGTAAGTGGAATTGAGTGTCAAGAAGCAGCTGGAAGGAGTTTTTGTGGC